GGGCTCATACTCTGTAGGAACAGAATTAGACTTAACTGCTTTGCTAATAGAAAAGTCACCTTTCAGCACTGAGCGTGGCTTCTGCAGCCCTCAGAGTTGCTCTAAAGGAGGGGAGTGGGGGAGGGGGGCTGGCTGCCCTGGGATGGGGGTCTTAGTCTGGAGACCAGGGGCCTAGTCCCGGTTGGGTCCTTGAGTGTCCATGTCTCTGCCCGACTGGACCTGGTCTTCTGGTTTGGGAGTTGTGGCAGGTGGAGGTAATGTCAAGCCATGAAGAACAGGCTTCAAAATCCATCCCTGGAGTCTGACTGCCTGGCACAAAGCATGGCTGCACCCATGGGGTGTGACTTGGGGCAAGGTTCTCAACCTCTCTGGACCCCAGTTCTGCTCCCATAAAGCCAGAATGGTGATAGCACCTCCTTCAAAGAGTTGCTGTAAGGATTTGAAATTCTTAGAAAGTGTCTTCTTGCTCAGTGCCTGGCATGTGGTTGATTTTTGACATTTGTTAATGGTTCCTATCGAACTGTTAGTTTTTTTTTTTAAATTAAAGCATTAATGACTCAAGTGTGAGAAAGCACCAAAAATGGGAATTGGAACATACAACGTCATCTCCAGCCATCCCTCCTTTGAGGCCTCGACTTGCCTGTCTGTAGCAACCTGCAGCCTAGAGTTGCTGGGAGGACTGAGTGGGGTCATGGGGTGACTGTTCCTGGCAGCTCGAGAACAGGTAGTAGATTCCGAACAGGAACCCCCTCTCCCAGGTGGGAGACACAGCGACTTTGCAAAAGTCTTGGAAAAGAGGTGTGAGAACTCCTGGTAAGTCCTGAGGCTGCTAAGTGCTAGTTCTACCCTTCTGTGGCAATCTGTGTCCCTCCCCAACGAGGCGGCTTCTGTGAATTAATGCCATTCTCTTCTGCAGAGAATACCTCCCAAAGGAAGGTCTGTGCCTCCATTTGTCACTCCTTCACGCTGTTATTTCTTGAGCACTTACTCTGCCAGGCATTTGGAGAGTACCAGGAGTATAGCAGAGACCAAGGCCTTATCCTGGAGGACAAAGATCTCCAGGAGACGGAGTGGGCCGGAGGCCTCTCCAGGCAGCCTGCAAGGGCAGCCACTCAAGATGGGTGGGGCCAGCTAACCAGGATAGTAGTTGGGAGTGTTTCAGCTGAGATACTGGCATGTGCCCTAAGGGAAGGGTTGAGTCGGGTTGCCAGGAGAAGTACAATAGGTGTTCAGTCTGCCAGCAGTGTAGTGTAGGTCAGGGCTGGAAAGGGGTGGCCGGCATGCAACCCAGGGGCATTCCAGGCTGCTTGGAGCATGGTCTTTATAGCTAGAGGGGCTCAGAGATGCCCCTCACTTGAGAATCCTGAAAATCAATGCTTAGAGGAAGCAAGCAGCTTGAGTCATTGCAACCCCCTCTTCCCTGCTCCCTATGATTTCCCAAGGAACCCAGTGGCTCCTGATGGAAGTTGAGTTTTTCTAGGGCCCAGGAGCTGCCTGAGAGGTAGTTCTGAGAGGCTGCTTAAGGGAGAGATTGGGGAGGGCAGCATGAGGGGGGTAGCAGTGGGGGGAAGTTCCTCTGTCACCTGGGCTCACCTGGGTCTCTGTATTTCAGATCATCAGAAGCTGGAACGTGAAGCCCGCATCTGCCGTTTGCTGAAGCACCCCAATATTGGTGAGCCAGGGAGGATGATTGGGGGTGCAGGGTGGAGCTAGACTGCGCCCCCCCAACTTGGTGGGTGTTTGCGGGGTGGGGGGGAGCTGCTCTCTTCTCTGGTGATGGCAGCAATAGAAGTGGGAAAGGGGGTGTCTTTAATGGTTTCCACATTCTTCAGAGACCAGCTTGGTTGGGGGGAAGGTGAAGAAGGGGCCCTTCCTCCCTGCCTACGCTGCCAACAGCCTCCTTCAGAAAAGCTGTTTCAGGAAAAGTCCTGAAGCTCTGAGAGAGATGAAAATAGGACAAGCTTGGCCTTGACCGGCACAGCCCACTCCCCAAGCCCACCCACATGCTGAGTCAGCCTGGCACTGTGGCCCCACCCACCTGCCTAGACCTGTGGCCCACCTGCTGTCCAAGTTCTGAGGTGGCCCTGCCCCAGGGGCAAAGGGCACACAGGCAGCCTTTAAAGACTGGGCTCATGGCAAGCTGGGACAGGCCCTGAAATAGCATTCCTGGCCTAACCCCTGTCCTGTGCCCCTACACAACTGGCTCCCCACCATCAGTCTGAGTGTGTGGAGGGGGGGAGGGGGGATGTGGGGGAGGGGGTGTGGGGGTGCCAAGTGAGGCTCCAGATAGTGTTCTGTCAGGGAATGGCTGTGTGGCATTGGGTAGCTGGATCTGAGCTGCTGTCTCCATCTTCACAAGGAGAGGGCTGTTTGGACCCCTGCGCATCTTGTCACCGAGGCTGACTCTGGTACTGGGTGGGGCTGAGATTTTGCTTGCCTTTCTAACATGTTCTGAGGCCACACCCAGGCTGCTGGCTCACAGATCACACTTTGAGGAGCAAAGTCTAGATGCTCCCTAAGGGATATCCCAAGCCTGACATCACCTGGTCCTCCCTCGGGAGGGCTGCGTTTCTTTGTGCCCAGAGTCCCGAGGGTTAACTCTCCTGCTGGAGAGAAGCTTCTTCTCTGCTATTTATACCCAGAAGGCACCGCCCCTTCCCTGTGCCTGGGAAGAGGAACAGAGCAGTACAAACAGCAGTGGAGGTTCCAGGGAGACAAGCAGAGAAGGGTAGTCAGGCACATGGGCAGAGGGACCCTGGTTGGACTCCGGCTGAGGGGCTTTGGGCACTTCCTGCCTCTTCTGGGCCTCCAACTTCACAACGGTGTGTAGAGGAGGTTGTGAGTGATTTGTGATTTATAAAATCCCATGGGTTTTATAAAGGATGTTGACTAGGAGAAGGGAGACAGTTTGTGGGTGCGCACGGTCCCCAGTCGAAGATGTCTCAGGTCAATTCTGACTCCTCGCCTTTCTTCTCCCTCTCATTCCAAGCTCAATTGGGAGCAATAAGGTATGGGCTCTGGGGCTGATAAGCCACAGCTCAAATTCTGGGTTTGTTGCTTAATTGCTGTGTGAGTGTGGACAGGTTGCTTAACCACTCTGAACAGCAATGTTCCATTGGGAAATTGGCAATGGTACTTGCCTCATATTATTGTGATGATTAAATAAAGTGGCAGTCTTAAAGGCAATACTTTCCTGCCATAAAACTTTTCCCTTACTCCCAATCTGTACCTTCCCATAGAACATCTTACCTGAAGGTTTATCTTCTTGCCCAAAACTATGATTAACGTAGTTAATCATAACCATCTAGATTTTGGATCTTTCATTTTTAGCACCAGATATAATATGGTGGTAAGAAAATAGCCTTTATAGCCACTCTTCTGGGTTCAGATCCCTGCTCTGAAGTTTACTTTGTTTGAGCTTGGGGACAGGCTGCAACCTCTCTGAAGTACAATGACTTCCTCTCTGGAATGGGAGTCATCACGCTCCCATGAACTATAGGGAGGGTTAAAAGAGATTTAGTAAGTCAAACACATAACACAAACCTGACACATGAAAAATCTCCAACACGAGAGCTGCGATCTTCATCATCATCTCCACTGTCTTTGTCATCATCTCCATCATTGCTGAGTCATTTTCTCCTTCATCCATTCACTGCATGTCAGGGCAACCAAGGTCCCACCACTTGCAGGTGCTGAACACGTAGGTACAAAATGAAGATGGGGATGGGGCGGAGTTCACAGCCAGATCAGGGAAAGCCTCAGAAGAAGCTGGAGCTGTGGCCGGATCTGGAAGGGCCCCTGGGGGAGGGGGGTGACATATCATGACCCTCTGATCCTCTGAGCATCTCACTTCAGTGTAGGCTGTAATTTGCCCAAAGAAAGGCAGAGGCACAGAGTGGAGCACAGCACGTGAGGGCTGAGGTGAGCCTGTGTCTGGAGAATCTAAGCTGAGACCTCTTCAGCACCCACATTGGCCAGGGCAGCCAAGATGGCTGGTGTGACTGCCTGACTCGCCCCAGGGGACCAGGTGTGTGGGAGGCCCCCAGGCTCAGCATAGTGGGGAGCCAATGGTGCTTCCTAAGTGCTTACTTCCTAGATCCTGGGGTGGGGGAGGTGAGGACAGCACTCACCTGCTAAACCTTTACCACCTGCTGATGGGGCAGGCCCCCAAGTCCACATGGGAGCCCAGATAAGCTGAGCCTCTGGGAGGTGATCTCGGATGGGCATGAAAAGGGAGATGGATGGATGATACAGTTGATAATGTCTTCATTTGTTAAATTCTTTCTGGTGCCAGACACTGCATCAAGTGCCTAATGAGCAGAAACAACACAAACCCCACTGCCATCTGGGGGGACTAGCCAAGAAGGCCCAGAGAGGTGACCTAACTCGCTTGGCGTTACACAGCAGCCAGGGTGGACGCAGGGGCCTCGAGCTGTACGGCCTCCAGGCCCGTGGGCTCAGTCACTCTCTTTTGCTCCCACATGGACGTCAAGCGTGTGCTGTCTGGGGGTACATGAAGAGGGAAGTGAGTACCATCTTTCAACTTACAAGAAAAAGCCGGTAACTGCTGGAAATATGACCGGATTGTCAGAACTTAATGAATGCAGTTACATAAATGAAAACCAGGTTACAGATTAGTTTATTATATGACAATCTATTAAAAAGTCAGAGTGGCCTGTCACCCGCCGGCAGAGATGCCCCAGTCTTCCCACCAGCAGGCAGGACCAGCACACAGCCGTCACCTCCTGGGAAGCCCCCTTTCCTCCCGGACTAGGCTGACTTTTCCTCAGGGCGGATCCACTTAGAGTTTGGCTTCTTAGAGTCTCTCACGCCTGGGGAAGGGAAGTGAAAAGCTCTCATGCCTGCCTGAAGAGGGCAGATGGAAAGGAGTCCTCTCCCCAGGAGTCTACCTGAGGAAGATCGGGGGAGAAAGGGCCTGGTGCACCAATAATCAAGATTATTATAAATAAAGGAGAAGACAATTTTTTTTAAAGTTTTATTTATTTATGGATACAGAACTGGGATACAGGCCAGAGGTGCAGGGGCGGTGAGAGGCTTCACCAGAGACAGAGTGGGCAGCAGAACAGGCAGATCGACGAAGTACACTGCTGAGGGGGGCAGCGGGTGGTTCAGGAGAGGTCTGCTGTGTCACGTGGTCACCTCAGGGGCCAGGGATTGAACTCCTACTGAAGTAGCTGCGGCTTGCTTGCAGTGCCGCACTTTAATCTGCTGCGCCACCAGGGAGGACCAGACAAATAATTTTACAGTTATATCCTGGCACAGTGCCTGGAGCTAACATTGTATGATATTAGCTTCTGCACAGATGACGTCTTAGCTAAGGATTTCTAGAAGCAGAGCCTGAGGTAGGGATTCAGGGCTGCTGTGGTCACTGAGGTATGCTCACAATGGAAATCCATAAGGGACAGGGTGAGGCAAGGTGGGGAGGGAGTAAGAGCCAGGTAGTGTGTGTGCATGCGCACACGTACGCTCCTCAGTCAAGTCTAACTTTGACCTAACCCCAGAATGGTGCAATGAGGAGGACTTCCACTCCGTAAAACCCGCTTCAGGGCTGTCGTTCCTTATGGCAAAGAGACGACCCCTCACAACAACCCTGACCTCCCATGTTACTCAGGTGAGGCTGATGGCTTCGGGTCACTTCTGGTGGGCAAGGCAGATCCACCAGAGACAGATCTCTGGTGAAGGGTCCTCTAAGAGCCGTAAGCAGCTGCAGCTGCGGGGAGCTGCAGGAACTTGCTAAGGGGGTCTGGGCAAGGCAGCAATATAGGTGGCCAGCTCTGCACCCAAGAATACAGGACACTCCTGAGTTAAATATATGTAAAGATTTTAAACATTAAACTGGCATTTGCTTTGAAATACATTAAAAATTAAAATAGATTAATGGACAGAGGGATCAGAAATGCTGCAAAGGAAGTGCTAAAAAACCAGAATGTTAGAAGCTCGGGATGGGTCCATGGGTGTTTATCTGACTTTGTATTTGGAATTTGTTTTTTTTTTTTTTAAAGATTTATTTATTTGTTTCTTAGTGCTGTCCTTTAACCCACTGTGCCACCAGGGAGGGCCCTGGAATTTGTTTTTTAAGATTTATTTTATAGATGCATACAAGAACTGGGGTGTTGGCCTGAGACAATTCACCAGAGACAGAGTGGGGAGCAGAACAGGTGGATCTACTGAAATCCACTGCTGAGGGGAGTAGCGGGCAAGACAGGAGAGGTCTGCTGCGCCATGTGGGTCAGCTCCCTGATGGGTATTGAACTCTTGCTGCAGTGGCTGGCTGTAACCTTGACAGGGCTGAGGCTCAACCCCTTGAATCACGAGGAGTCCTGAAATTTATTTTTTTAAGATTTATTTATTTATTCGTATAGAACTGGGGTACAGGCCAGAGATGTGGAGGCTGAGAGGATTCACCAGAGACAGAGTGGGGAGCAGAACAGGCAGATCGACAGAGTATACTGCTGAGGGGAGCA